CTTCTTTTCATTTTTCGTCAGAGATATTCACCTACTTTCGGGACTCGCTGGAGAAGAACAAATTTGAACTTGTGTACCATTTGAATTATACTCTCTAATCAGCATCGCCAAGACCATCACTCCCATCGCCAAAACCATAACCAACCTACAAAAAGGGGAAAAAAAAAACCTCAAAATGTAACGAAAATCTGAACCAAGTATGAAGATTGCTGGCACTACTATTTACTCAAGTAAAATCATGCCAAGTCTTTCAATATCAAAGTAAAATGATCATACGGAAGTGAAACATGATCGCCAAATCTACCCTTTGTAAAGTTGCATCCAAATTTCTTTAACCCCTTGATTCAATACTTGCTCTAGAGATTTCCTCGTTGAATCCTTATCTCCAACAGATACCAATTCCAATATCTTTAGGCCATCTATCTTGGAACTCAACGTTTCCAGTTTGTCTTTAAAAACATTGTCCTTTAGATATATGTTCTTTACATTACATGCATGACCTAAAAATTTAGAATGACAGTCTCAGACTTTCAATTTACTTATCATACATTCAACAATTATGAACATAAATAGAACAATACATAGATATATGAAATAAACAAATCTTTATTAATAATCAAAATGACATGTTTAGTGCCAGCAATCTTGTGTGCTTCCTTTCTTTGTTAGTAGTGAAGCAATTTCAGCGTTCTTTCGCACAAACATAAAATCGGTTTTACTTGAAGCACGAGAGCCTCGGACCTCTTACAAAGAATGTTAGATTCTAATCTTATACTGTTGTAAACCCAACAAATGATGCGTGCTTATACATGCAAGGTATATGCCGCCGAAAGAGAAGAAACAAGTGAGGAGCTTTGTATTAGGATGGCCAACCTACCATTCGTTAATTTACGTTTTAGAATTTAAATCACATCATAATCAAAAGGTACGCACATCTTATGGTTCAAAAGAGGATTTTTTTTTTTTTTTTTTTTTTTAATCTTACTGCAAAATTCCCACTATACCGAAAGATACTATACGAGAGTAACAGCAGTCTCCTCTTCGTAGTTCCTATCACTTCACTTGTACCGAAAATGAAGAGTAAGAAAACAATTTAGAATTTTTAAATAAAGACATACCAGCCACCTCTTGGAGCATCTGAATAAGAGCTTGGATCCATCGGAGGTTTTATGCTATCTCTTTTACCTCCTTCTTCCCATCGGAGGTTTCCATATTGGACCTAAGTAACCCACAGTCAGATCAAACAAATTACATCTTAAATTTGTTCAACACTTGTAACCCTACTCCAACCATACTTTTCTTTTTATTTTTATTCAAAAAGAGCCTTTGCAACTTCGAAAGCCGAAAACAATATTTATTCCATGTAAAGATAGGACTTGTAAGTGCAGATTGAAAAATTTCTTGAGCAGGGCTCTACTCAAACCCCATCACTGCTTAGAACATTGACAAGCAACCTAGGACGTGTCCACGCGTTATGCGGGAAGTCGGGATCTTTAATTAGTGCCTTGCATGTTTTCAAGTACCGGCGAAATCAGTCTTTCAAAATATTTTTCTGAGAGACCTAGACACCGTTTGCTGGTTGTTCAATTTTGCTGATCATCCCTCCTAATTGTTTATAATTCTCTATTCTTGAATAATATGTATAATCTCAGGATTAAGCTACAATAGGGATCTTATGGGCTTATATTATTTGGCTCCTAATATAGAAAAAGGAGATAAATACTCATGGGATTAAGATTTTCACTATTTATTCTTAATTAATACCTTTTAGTCAAAAGGGTATTAACCAAACGTTTAAAGGGTCAAAATTTTAGAACAATACATAGTGAGTTTACTAATTTTTTCTTTTAATATTTAATCCAATCTAATATCACCACTTTGATAAAATGAATTAAATATTAATTTCATAATGATTCCACTATAGTTACGAAATTGCATTCCAAATAATACAAACCATTTATGAGAATGTAAATCTAATTCTGTACATATATACACACTAATCATATATTATGCCACTGTTAAATTTTTATAATTAATCTGGTACGACTGTTTGTCAAATTAAATTACAACGTTGTCTTTAAGCCCGTTAGTCATTTTATTGATCACCCCCAACATAATTAAATATGTAGATTTCCTAAAGAGATTACTTTGACTAAATATTCAAGCGATCAATTAATTTGACACAACTTAAGGGGAAATTATGAACTCCCAAAGGAGCCACAAAATTCCAATATTGAAAAACTAATTAATCACTATACCCAGATCCACATTTTCAAATTACAGAGGCTATTGAATTAATAAATTCTCAGTCCCGGAGTAATTCAAAAAATGTAAAATCCAAGTATATAATATTTTCAGTAAACTCAGGATTGAGAGTATTGACATGTTTAGTGCCTATAAGGTTCAATTAAAATAGCCGCTAAAATTAAATCTTATTTATGATCCGCTTAATACTCCACCTACAGCGACTCACAATTAATTACACCAAATCAATTAGCTGTGGCTTTTGCTATAACTATTAAATAAAATGCCCAATTTTGTTTATAGTTGTGAACATTTTTTTTAATTATGGAATCCATGTGAGCAAATAAAACATGATCGAAGGGCTCAATATATTCAAATAAATAATTACGTGATGAAGAAAAACATCAACTTTTATGTAACCTTTCTCATGATTTTGGAAATCATTATGAGGTTTCTTCTTAACATTCTTATCCATGTGAGCAAATAAAAAAACTTCTCATGATTTTGTGCGACTTACTTTTAGAGATCATGTTAATGTTTGCCACAGGTGTATGGGAGAAAGGGAAAGTTAACTTTATGTTTATCAGTTTATGATTTCTTTTTCTTATTTTTGTAAACTCTTTATTTGTGATGAAGTTTCTATTTTCAATTTTTTACACCGGTGTTAAGAAAATTACTTTAACCCCACTTGTGGTTTGGTGAATATTTTTAGGGAATGACCGTCAAAAACAATTTCACGCTCGGATACTCCCAGGTTAGTTTTTTTTTGTAATTTCATGAATGAACGGAATTTTAAAAATTTAACGAGTTAATGGAATGTAGCACTTCTGAAAAGTTCGAGGGTAAATTGGTATTTTAAAAAACTGAATGAAATATAGGGTGCGTTTAGAACTCGTTATAAAATGATTTTATTTTTTTGTATGAAAATAGAAATAAAAACGTTTTCAATCTCAGACATAAATCATTTTTAAAAATGCATTTGGCAGTTATATCAAGAAATTTTTTTCAGTATAAAAACAATTCATTAATGTCTCTCTCTCTCTCTACTCAAGAGAAGAGAAAACGGAAATAAAAAATGTAAAATGACTAAAAATCATTTTTCATTTCTCTCTCATTTTACACTAAACTAAAAAATCATTCTTATTTCTGTTTTTTATCTTTAATTGTGTCAACCACTGTTTCTCCCATTTTCATTTATTCTTTCTTGAAAAACGTTAAAAACAAAAGCAACTCCAAACACAACCATAATATTTTTCCAAAAGTTAGGGGACACTTTAGGTATTTTTCCTTGTAGAGAGAGAAATATTTTTCTAAGAGAAACACCAACTACAATGTCGTGACCACAAGTAAAGTTATAGTTGGAAATACTGAAAAATGCTTAAAGAAAGCTCTGACATCCTAGAATTATACATAATTCACTACATGAATAATTTAAAACTTTTGGGCCATCCAAGAAATCTTGAAGGTCTTAATTTAAAACTGGATGTAATTTCTCTCTCTCCGATCTTGGCGGAATGCATTGCAGTTAGGGAAGGATTGCAACTTGCTGCTGATTGTGGTTTCCGAGTGATGAAATGTTTTAATTTGTGGTATTAATGCCCCTAATAGTCTTGCTCCTGTAGGCTCTATAGGCGCGCGTTTAGAACTCGTTCTAAAATTATTTTATTTTTTATATAAAAATAAAAATGAAAACGTTTTCAATCTCAAACAGAAATCACTTTTGAAAATGCGTTTGGTAGTTTTATCAAGAAAGGAGAAAACAAAAATAAAAAATGAAAAATGACTAAAAGTCATTTTTTATTTCTCTCTCATTTTACACTAAACTAAAAAATCATTTTCATTTCCGTTTTTTATCTTTATTGCGCCAAACGCCGTTTTAAAAACGTTTTCATTTTTTTTCTCTTGAAAAACGTGAAAAATAAAAATGAGATTAATTCTAAACACAGCCATAATCTCGGACATTTTGATTTTGTTACATAACCTAGGTGGTGGTTCTTGTTGCTCTATTTCGCGTTCAGCGAATGGAGTAGCCCACGCACTTGCTCGCTTTGCTTCGACTCACAATAGTAAGCAGGCTTGGCTGGAAGAGGTACCTGAGTGTATCTCCCGTATTGCATTTCATGATTTGCATTAGCTATCAATAATAACCAGCCTTGGATTTTCAAAAAAAAAAAAAAAAAAAAAAAAAAAAAAAAATAGAAATCTTGAGGGCCGCATCGAAATTCACAAATCCATGTCTCGCGTGAAATTACAAGTTTAATAGAAATTGAGACCGTTTGTTAAATAACTTTTTTTTAAGATTATTTTGAGTATAAGACAAAAGTGAAACTGTTTTAGGTTAGGATTCCAAAAACAAGTACTGAAAGCCCCATTTGGTAAGAGAGTTCTAGAGTCGAACTATAGTTTCAATTCAAACCAGTATTTATTTGTAAAAAGTTAAAAGTGATTTAAACTTAACTCAACAAATTTAATGTTTGGTTTAGATGATATAATAATATACTAATTAATTAACAATTAAAAAGTAACTAGTATATCAACAATTAACACATTAATGATATAATAATATATATTAATACTAAAAAATGTGATTGTTTAGCAATTATCTCAGCCCTTTTCGAAAATATATGGAGACATGCTATTGAGGAACGTTGCCATGATAGCCACCTCGCGAACGTGAAAAATAGTTCCCAAAACAGACCAAACGGCCCTTAATTTCTTTCATTTTTGGACAGAGATATTGAAATTAAATATTTTTGTGAATGGATATTGACGTTATATAGACAATAAGCATTAATTGATCCAGTCTTGGCAATAGCCAACCCGGATTACAACTTCGTTACAAACTAAATTTAGTCTTTTTTTTGGTAACTAATCAATAAATAGTTTTCACCTTGACTATTGGACGCTACTCTTTGACTAGAAACAGAAAGCAAAGAACTATATAGATGTAGGACATCTAGAGTTTGAATCACCCCATTAAAAAATTTTTTAAAAATGAAAATAAAAATAAAACCTACATATAAGAGATATTCACCTACTTTCCGGACTCGCTGGAGAACAAAATTCAACTTCCGTACCATTTGAATTACACGCTTTAATCGGCATCGCCAAGACCATCACTTCCATCCCCTCTTTTTGATATAGGAGTGAACTGTGAGCTTCCTTTCTTTGTTAGTGAAGCAATTTCAGCGTTCTTTCGCAAGACGGCCCCTGGCGATGGATAAGGACGCTGTTGGAAAAGAGGACCCTGAATTTCACAAAAACATAGAACCAATTATGCTTGAAGCACGAGAACCTCAAACCTCTTACAGAAAATGTCAAGATTCTGATCTTATACTGTAGACCCAACAAATGACGCATGCTTATATATGCAAGGTATGCGCTGTCGAGAAGTGAAGAAACCAGTGAAGTGGATACACACACACAAGCAGCTTTGTATTAGTGTGCGCAACCTTTTATGGTTCGAAGACACACTACAGTAAAGAGTTTATTTTTTAATCCTGCTGCAAAACTCCTATATATACAAAAAGATACTACAAGAGTAATAGGCATACTGTGGCAGTGGTGTCAGCTGCTCGTGGCTGCACTCCTTTCAGGCCGACAACCCTGCAAAATGGTGAGACAGAGACATAACAGTAGTCTTCTCTTCCTAGTTCCTACCACTTCAGTTCTACCACAAATGAAGAGTAAGAAAACATATATAGAATTTTTAAGACATACCAGCCACCTCTTGGAGCATCTGAATAAGAGCTCGGATCCATCGGATCCAACTCATCATCTTCAGAGTAAGCACGTTTTCTGCTCTCTCTTTTACCTCCTTTTCCCATCGGAGGTTTCCAATTGGACCTAAGTAACCCACAGTTAGATCAAACAAATTACATCTTAAATTTGTTCAACACTTGTAACCCTACTCCAACCATACTTTTTTTTTCTTATTTTTATTTAAAAAGAGCCTTTGCAACTTCGAAAGCCAAAAAAATATTTATCCCATGAAAAGAAAGGACTTGTAAGTGCAGATTGAAAAATTTCTTGAGAAGGGCTCTGCTCAAACCCTACCACTGCTTAGAACATTGACAAGCAACCTAGGACGTGTCCATGCATTATGCGGGAAGTCGGGATCTTTAATTAGTGCCTTGCATTTTTTCAAGTACCGGCGAAATCAGTCTTTCAAAATATTTTTCTTTTATATTTGAGAGACCTAGACACTCTTTGCTGGTTGTTCAATTTCGCTGATAATCTCTCCTAATTGATTAATTGTTCACTCTCTTTCCATTAACATTTACACCGAACACAAACGGAACATTTCTAAAAAAATGTACTTCTTCCTTTTTTTCTTTTTCTCAAGGAAATGAAAGCCAAACTAAGTTCATTTTTCAAACAGTTGAAATGGGGAAAATTATGCAAGAAATTGGTCTGGCAATGAATGATAAGAGTGAGAGATTGATACTCTACAATCTTCGTATTAAAGATGACAATATTTAGAATCACAACTGCAGATCAGGAAAAGCATTAAATCTTAAGAATTGGCATATGTAATTCGATGGAAATCAAACCAGTCATCTCAGCCCAAAAATATGATCCGTGTGGTACCTCTGCTTGGGGGTGTTTCTGTCAGAATCCCCTTTTGCTTCTACAGGATTGCCATTATGACGGTGGTTATTCACATTTGCTGTCAAAAACTGGCTTTGTGGAAGATTAAGAACTCTGCATTAGATGTAGTTTCCAGAAACATGTCAGTAGTCAGTGCACTTTGATGGAAACAATTCAGTTAAGGAAATCTACATCTCATAGGAATAATGAAAGATGATAAAGAAGAAGGAAAAGCTAACAAAATTGCTCTCTTTTTATTTGGTAAACTACACTTAAGTTCCTCAATTTTTTTTTATTTAATTTCACTTTGCCCCTTGTAAAAGCTAAAGTTCCCAATTTTATATTTCCCGCTCGGCGCCTTAATATATTGATCCCTCCATCAATCAATTATTAGAGAACTGGGAATTTTTTCATAGAACTTTGGAGTTTATTACACAAAATTATTAAGCAACTTTGCTGCATATAAACTAGAGCATTGTAATTTAGTTGATTATTCATATTTCATACCGGCATTTTTTTCTCTTAATTATTGAATAAACCGAAATTGGTTTCACTCAACTGGGATTAGATGGCAATATTACAGGTCTATACATTTTTGGTGCAAACATTTAGTACGGAAAGTTAGAGGTTTACTTCTTTTTTATGTCCATCCAAGATATATCATGTCAATTACGCTACCGTTGGAAAAATGAACCACGTGGACAAACCAACAATGAAGCACCAATAGGCTAAACAATAACTACACCTGTGACAGCCCGTAAGCTCTCTTATGAATATGTTCCACCCTAATAGTAGTTGATATCTAATAACCAATAAGAGCCATTACATCTGAATTCAACTTCCTATTAAATATCCAGTATAGAGTATGTGGAAAAAACCGAGTGATTGGAGAGGAATCCGGTTACTTTCCTTATTTGACTTAGTGTAAATTAGTTTCCTGATTTCTAGAATTATATTAGGTATGTTTCTAGGATAATTAGAAGTATGTTTTCTTTTTATTTTAGGAGAGAATCACCGGGATCTCACCTTGGGTGATTAGGGTTCTCAATTCTTCTCTATTTAAAGAGAAAGAATGATTGTAAAAGTGTGTAATATGAAATAAAGCAATTTCATCTTTTCTCCCAAATACCTTTATGGTATCAGAGCAGGAATAATACTTTATTCCTTATGGCGAAAACTGCCATGACAGGGGCTTCTCGTGAAGCCACCTCCAATGCAACCAGCGAGCACATCTCGCCAACAACTCAAAACTCCCAAGGAGGATCACAGCAAATCATCAATGTCAATGATAGTCACTCACTACAGATCACACAGCACAAGTTAAACGTTGCCAACTATGTTGAATGGTCCCAATCGGTCATCCTTGTTATTGATGGAAAGGGCCGGCTGGATTACCTGACCACCGGCATACAAGAAGTGGAAACCGGAGGACTCAATGGTGAAGGCGTGGCTATTAAACTCAATGGAACCTGCCATTAGCCGAGTATACCTTTACTACAAGACAGCGAATGCGATTTGGGAGATGGTAGAGATGTATTCGGATCTTGGGAATTCAGCCCAGATCTTTGAAATAAAGTCAGCCTTAAGAGAAAAAAGGCAAGGTAATCTTAGTGTCACCGAATACTATAATGAATTACAAGTATTGTGGCAGGAATTGGATTTGTATCAGAACTTCAATTGGAGTTGCTCCACCGATAGTGCAAAATTCAAGAAGATGCTTGACAAAGAACGAGTTTTCGACTTCCCACTCGGACTCAACAAGGAACTAGATGAAGTTCGTGGATGTGTGCTCGGTTTCAAACCATTCCCCGAAATTAAGGAGGCCTTTGCAAAAGTGAGACGTGAAGAAGCATGACAAAGAGTGATGCTTGCCCGAAAGGAGAAAAACGTGCAGCCTGTTATTGAATCACCACACCAAGAATCAACATTGGTTGTTAGAAAAAGTCCTAGTTCCAATGGAGATGGCCAAAATCATAGGAGGAATGATAGACCATGGTGTGACCACTACAAACGTAATGGACACACAAACGACACATGCTGGGAGATTCATGGGAAGCCGACGGACTGGAAACCAGCAAAAGAACGCTGGCACCAGCGACAACCTGGTGAAGGCCAAGGCTTTGCAGCCTCATCTGGAGGAAGCGAAAAGGCTACAGAAAGCAGCACTGGCTCGGCCTTCAGCAAGGAGCAGTTAGAGCAGCTTCAAGTGCTCTTGTCACAGCGAGCACCGGCAACAACATCCACCACAGGGCCAACAGCAACAGTAGCGCAAAGGGGTAATTTTCTCCCCGCTCTAACAACCAAAACTACGTGCAAAGATGTTTGGATTGTTGATTCGGGTGCTTCAGATCACATTACCAATTGTAGGAGTTTTTTCTCAGAGTTCAATACTAGTAACGATGGTCTAAAGATTAAAATTGCTGATGGCTCATTAGCATCCGTAACAGGAAAAGGGACAGTGAGAATTTCGGGTTATATAACATTGCACTCTGTGTTATATATTCCAACTATTGCTTGTAATGTTTTGTCCATTGCGAAGTTAACAAGAGATATGAATTGTTCTGCTAAGTTCTCTCATTCATTGTGTGAGTTTCAGGATTTACTTTCGGGGTGGACAATTGGCAGTGCTAAAGAATGTGATGGGCTATACCTATTTGAAGGTTCTCCACTTTCCAAGAATAAACAAGTTCAAGCTTTGAGTTGTAATTATGCTTCTGTTTCCAATGAAATTATGTTATGGCACAATAGACTTGATCATTCTAATTTCCTATATCTAAAAAAGTTGTTTCCTTCATTGTTTGTCAATAAAGATGTTCACTCATTTATATGTGAAACATGTCAGTTTGCAAAACATACCCGTGTTTCCTATCCTTTACAAATTTATAAAATCTCTAAACCTTTTTCACTCATTCACAGTGATGTTTGGGGGCCTTCAAGAATAAGTAATATATTTGGCGCACGCTGGTTTATAACCTTTATTGATGATCCCACTCGAGTTTGTTGGGTATTCCTTCTGAAAGAAAAGTCAAATGCCGCACTGATTTTTCAACAATTTCATAAAATGGTGGAAACCCAGTTTCAAACAAAAATCCAAATTCTTCGTACAGATAATGGACGAGAATACTTTAATAACACTTTCAGTCCTTATCTAGCAGAAAATGGAATAATTCATCAAAGCTCTTATGTTGACACCCCTCAACAAAATGGTATTGCAGAACGCAAGAACAGACACTTACTTGAAATGGCTCGTGCACTCATGTTCAAGGTTTTAAAAAGCTTGAGGCGAGCGCCTCAGCCACTTGAGGCGCACGCCTTTGAGCAACGCCTCAGGCGGTTAGTGAGGCGCACGCCTTGCGTGTATAGGATTTTCAGTGGGTTTTTTAACCCTAATTGAATTGGGCCCGTCGGCCCCAAAAGCCCAAATACCAGAGACTCAACATAACGTCTCCCTCTGAGAAATCTTCTCATTCTTTCCTGCCTCTTCCCAAAAACCAGAGACTCGTTCTTCTTCGTAGCCAGCTCCTTCTTCTTCTTCTTCTTCGTGCCAACTGCCGACCACCGTGCGCCTCCTTCTTCATCGCTGACCGCCGTGCGCCTCTTTCTTCTTCTTCTTCTTTCCCGGTGCCGTGCCACCTCCTTCTTCTTCGCAAGGTTCCTTCTACTCTTTACTTTTTTTTTTTTTTTTTCATTTTGAAGGCTTACTCGATTATCTATATATTAAAGATTTTTATTCTTATGCATTGATGTTCCTTATCTGTGTTTATGAGAGAAACAGCTATATGCTATATTGTTTGTTTTTCTCTTGCAATTCTGGTTTTTTTTTCCTGGTTTAAGTTAGGAAAAAAAAATTAGGATGAGACCTCCCCAAAATGCTAGCGGTAGTCGTAGTGGGAGACGGGATCCGGCTTAGAAATATGGAAAAGAAATTACATCGGAAAATGACAAAAAGACTTATATTTACCTCCAATGTGTGTTTTGCAATCAAATTATTAAAGGAGGTGTTAAGAGGATGAAAGAACACCTTGCTTGCACTCATAAGAATGTGTTGAAATTCAAAATTCAAATTAGGAATTATCCTCAATATAGTTCGGATTGATATTAGGATTAGGATTTGATTTCCTATCTTTAAATTCAGTTTTCCTCTATCTCTTATCTCCTAGTTTAGTGGGATATTTTCCCGATTCTCTTTAACCTAGAATTTATAGTTGTAGTATATATATATATATATATTGTACCGATTCAATAAAATTAATAAGAGAGAAAAAGAGGGCAATTTCCTTCTCTGAAAATCTACATGGTATCAGAGCCTTTAGAAGCCCTAGTATCAATTCATCTCTCCCTCCTTAGCGCCGCCTGAAAATCACAGGCCTCTTCAATCCCCTACCGTTCAAACCCTACCCATGACCAAATACGGTATGGCAACCGAGAGATCTAGTTCAACCTCGGAAGTTAACTCCAATCCGGATATGTCCCCAGTCAGCAATCAGCATGGTGGAACGGAAGGCTCATCTATCCTTATCACAGGTCACAAACTCAATGGCCACAATTACCTCCAGTGGTCTCAATCAGTGATGATGTTCATATGCGGCAAGGGCAAGGATGAGTATCTCACTGGCGAAGTCTCAATTCCTGATAAGAAGGATCCAAAATTCAGGACATGGAAGACTGAAAAGCACATGGTTATGTCATGGTTAATTAATTCCATGAATAATGACATCGGAGAAAATTTTCTCCTTTATGGGACTGCAAAAGAGATATGGGATGCAGTTAGGGAAACCTATTCGAGTTCAGAGAACACCTCTGAATTGTTTGAAGTAGAAGCCGCATTACATGATCTGCGCCAAGGAGATCTCACGGTCACACAATACTTCAATACCCTTAATCGTCATTGGCAGCACCTTGACATGTTTGAAGTTCATCCTTGGAAGTGCACAGAAGACACAAATCTGTACAGGAAGATTGTGGAACAGAAAAGAACCTTTAAGTTTCTTCTTGGACTCAACAAAAATCTGGATGAAGTCAGGGGGAGAGTGATGGGAATAAAACCCCTTCCAAACATAAGGGAAGCCTTCTCAGAAGTTCGGAGAGAAGAGAGTAGGAAGAAACTAATGATG